AATTGACGAAGTCAACAATGACTATCGTCCAATAAATGGTTTTGGTGAATCTGAAATGTGCTCGTATCCGTTGGATAAGGTATATTTAGGGTTGGAAACTGTTGGGACATGCCGGCCCTGAGCAGGCGGCGCGACACAGATGCGCGGTCCGAGGATCAGTCGAGTAGTCGATGTTCGGACTCACACGTGCCTTATCTAAGAGTGTATAATATAGTTCTCTCTTGAGTATAATATATTTCATTCGCTTGAATATTACTTTGTGAATACAATCACCGATCACCCGACCGATCCCAACAATTGACGCTGCGTTTTTGAACTTGTGCATCCACAATATTCGTAGTCACGAATATCAAGAGGAAGAAAACAGTCACATGGCGTATAACGAACTCGAAGCGTTTACGGCCGCCATTAACAGCTTAGTTTAACTGCATCTCAGCAAAGAACAGTCTCAAAGCGAGAACAGGAATCCTAGCTCTAAACCATTCGACGTGTACAATCAGCTAAGTGCACGCATCGAAAAGTACATCTTCGCCGTTGGCGACAACACGAGAACATGGCGTTCACGAAATGGCTCCTGCGCCATGAATATACTCTCGTCTCTGAATCGCAAGGTCTCCCCCCGGAGATGCGTACGCTGTTACTTCTAGACAAATTAGGTCTAGCGGAATTTGATAGAATGGTTGATCATGTCGCTCCTGCAGACCCATCCAAGATGAAATTAGAAGAGCTCATCGCCATCTTGAAAACTCTTTTCCGCGACAGGATTTCTCTTAAGGCCTTTGCACGTAAGAAAGCGTTAACCGTAACCGTAATTTTAGTAGTTTCCAACACGTACAGTCAGATGGAGCAATGCAAGTGAAATTTCGTAACCGTAATTTTAAAATCGTATTTTAAAATTAGTCGTAAAAATTTCGTCATGTTGGAATTTACATTTAACGCCTTAATGCCAACCAGTAGGAAAACTATTAGGTTATGGAGCAATGCAAGTGAAATTCCGTAACACCATAATTTTGAAACCGTAATTTTAAAGTTAATCGTAAAATTTCGTCATGTTGGAATTTTACATTTAATGCTTAATGCCAATCCGATAGGAAAACTATAGGTTAATACACTATTTTGGCACTGGCGATCGCAGTTTTCGTTTCCAAAGGAAGGATTCAACTTGTGCAAAAATAATATTAGCGAGATGACTGATGATCACACGTATCCGGACAATTTTTCCTATACATTTGAGTCAAGGTTGGCTGAAGAAAGCGTTGATGATGTTGGTGAATTTATTGAAACGTTTGATGAACTCGTCATCGCTTGTGTCCAAAGTTATACTCATTTATATAACAAGAAGGATAAAAATTACAAAGATCATTTAATGAAGGAACAGTCCTGGAAAAAAATTGCAAAAACATGCAATGTATCAGGTATAATGTTGATGAAATATTTTTGCATGTAGATATATAATCCTAACCTTAAGATAATCTCAAAATAATATTGAAATTTTCATAGTTGATGAAGTACAATATAGATGGAAAAGACTAAAAGACAGATATACCAAAGAAAGAAGATTAAACGAAAATGCAACACGCAGTGGCAGTGGTAAGCAACAAAATAAACAGTGGCCATTATTCGAAAGTATGAAATCTTTGGAAAAACATATCCAGAGAAGAAGGTATAGACAAAATTTATTAATAAAAAATTAGTTATATTAATAATGCAATAATTACCCTAATAATTGTGTTGTAGTGTAACCGAACACTCCGCCAATATATGCGGAATCGTCCGCACCTCTTACTTTATTCACGGTCACCACGTCTTTTGACCTTTTAAAGACGAAGGATGGATACGGTACTTACTTAGGTTCACTGTGCCACTGCCGGTCCCCACAAATCAGCGACTGTGTATCAATCGGTTTTGTTTCGTATATGTAACAATATAGCTTACTTGCTCTCGATAATTTCTTGATAATCAAAAAAAGGACCTTTTCAGGAATACTAGTAGCAAAAACCAATTTACAACAAAACAAAGTAGTGTATTTCAACAGTCAATAAATCAATCACATTTCTCAGTATACACTGTATAAAACAAACTTCGCTCGTCAATAATTTCGTACAATATAGATATGAAAAAATCGTCGGCTCATATCTGTCGCTAAATAATGATCTCGCATACTCTCCTCTAATTTCATCCTTTACGATACTCGCGTACCTAATTTCTACAACATTAACCGATATAGCCTTTATGCCTGCGCACTAAGGCGCTCACAATTCATCTAATTCTCACTACTACGCTGAATCTATCTCGCAGCACTTGGCAGAAAACAACTCTGCCATCCCGCTTGAAACTTCGTATTCGATTTAAAAAAAAAAAAACTAACCACCTCCAACCGGTCTCTTCTGTCTCACCCAGATTGGAGTAGCTCAGACTCAAAAACTCTATCTTCCTTCGGTTCAGACTCGCCTATTTTTTCTTTCCCTTTCGGACAAACTTCTACCTCGCGACCTATCTTTTTCACGGTTCGCAACAGACTCTCACTCCTCTGTTCGCTTCTTACCAATTCGAGTATCGCTATTCGTTTTCACGCATGCGCCGCTGTGAGTTTTTCATCCTTAGCATTCTCATACTTTTATCATCGGATACTCTCGTTTATTATCATCCTAATACCTTCATTCGAGTCTCTCAATGACCTACCCGCGATATCCTCGCGTATTATTGTCTCGCGTCAACAATCTCATCACGCGCTCGCTTAACTCACAACGCTATATCCTTTATTACACCTTATTATTTATCTAACTAACTTCGGGCATCCGCAATTCTATTCCGATTGATATGAAATTTGGCATACGCATCCTTTGTTTTATTATCCGTCGATTCACCGAACGGATTGTCGATCGCTTTATTTCCATTACTTAACGATTTCGGGACTTACACAATTCAGCTCCGACTGCCTTGATTTTCGGTGTACGTGCTACCCGCGCCACCTACTTTCGTCTGACCGAAGGAAATCTTCAGAAAATATATGTACATTACCTTTCTCAAAATTTTACATAGATGTGATAAATTAACTTACTAGTCAGTAAGCAACACAAGCTGACAGCAACACATGTGTCATCTGTCACGTACGCGTATTCTATTAGAATAGGTAATGGTACATGTTCGTGGAACGCAGATGTGTAATACCCCAGCCAATCAGAATCACCCATAATCACGTAACGAGTTGGCGAGTTTCTCTTTTTAGGGTCTCTAGGATGATCCGAATGAGTTGGTAGACCGTCTTCAGTTGCTCGATGCCTCTCGTACAGCTGGCAATAACGCTCACGACAACGAAATACTGTCGATACTCGAGGAACTTCGCGAGGCTGGATTTATCATAAATTAAATCGTTGATTGAGCAACAGTAGTAAGGAACGTATGAGTTGGATATCATGTTGGTAAATCAAAGTCTCGCACGATATAAACAGGCGTGATTAACGTGAAAACGATGTGAGAGGATTATTTAAAAGACACGCGTAAAGTATGCGTAATGTCATAACGATGAGTGTCGAGAAACGGACAGTCGCGGAGGAGCTTCACGCACCCGGACGGAGAAACTTTCCACGACGACGAGTCGTCGTGCGTGGTCGTGACGATTTATGGCAGGCAGATGTAGTTGAGATGCGCCCTTACGCGAGATTGAATAAAGGTTGTAATTACATTTTAACTGTTATCGATGTTTTGAGTAAGTACGCGTGGGCATTACCACTCAAGACCAAAAGCGGAAGCGGCGTTCTCCAAAATATTTCGCGAGGACAAACGATATCCGCGGAATCTATAGACGGATCAAGGAAAGGAATTCTACAACGCCACTGTGCAGAAACTTTTGCAGAAATACAACGTAAATCACTATACGACGTATTCGGTAATGAAAGCGTCGATAGTGGAACGATTCAACCGTACTCTCAAAAATAACATGTGGAAAGTATTTACGTTGAACGGCACGTATAAATGGATCGACGAATTGTCGCGTCTACTGTCAGATTATAATCGCCGTAGACATCGAACCATTGGAATGCGTCCGATAAACGTCACACTTCCCGTTGCAAAACGTCTCTTGTCGACGGTGTACAGTCACGTGAAAATTGCTCCCCCGACGATATTCAAGATAGGCGATCCAGTACGTGTTAGTAAATTTAAGACGATTTTTGAAAAAGGATACACACCAAATTGATCCACCAAGATCTTCCATATCGCCAAAGTGCAACGTACGAATCCTACAACGTATCTGCTAAGAGATTATCGAGGAAAGCCGATAGCCGGTGGTTTTTACGAATACGAATTGCAACGAGTGTCCAATCCGGACGTCTATCTTGTGGAGAAAGTATTACGTAAACGAGGCAACGAAGTTTTGCATACGTAAAATGGTTAGGAATGGACATCTCACATAGTTTGTGGATAAATAAAGCTGATTGTTTAACGTGCAAGTATATTTTTCGCACTAACTGCCTGGTACTGCAGTATTTGCAGTAGGGCTTGGTGTGAGGAAATTAACTTATTCGTGATTTCTATTCAAAAGATCGTTTACTTTTAAATGCTCTTTCTTACTAGCTGTCTAGCACGCGACTGACTTATATTATTTTTCTGAAAATCCGAGAAGTTTCTCGGAACGGCTCTCACAATACGAATATCAGTGAGAGAACGTAAACAGATTCGATACATTGCCTTATTTGGTATTTCCTCGAATATTGACACTCGTTAAAGCGAGATTTAAACTAGAGTCAGCAGACGCGGAAAACGCTATACAGAATTTTATGATAATCTTTACTGAAAACATACGTAGAAGAATGAGGGGGAAGTTTACAAGAAATTATACATAATTGAAAGAGTAGATTAAACTGGAGTTAAATTAATAGACAAAGAATGAAGGAGACGGATGGAAATCTGTAACATTCCACCCGCCTCGTTCTTAGTAGAACGAAAATAAAGTTTCGTTACAGAATAGAGGTCTTCCTCTTGATAGTGAATGCTCGTAGTTATTGAATAGCTAGATGCGTAGACGATTCAACAGGCAGTTTGCACAATTGAGTAACTGGTCTTTTAAGTATAGATTTAGCGGTCTTGATTGTGGCTACTCGTATTAACTTATCATCACCGGCGTGACATTCAATCACCCGACACAAATCCCATTTTGTGGGAGGCAGATTCGGATTGCGTAGTAATACCAGATCGCCGATTTTGATATTAGGCTGAATACTTTTCCATTTTCTGCGTTGTTGCAGAGTGTTTAAGTAGTCAGCTGACCAGACCTTCCAAAAGCTTTCAAACATTTGTTGAACTGCCTGCCATCGCGAAAGCCGATTAGCGGTTAAATCTAAGACGCTCGGTGCAGGGACGGATTTTAAATGTGAGCCTACTAAAAAATGACCTGGCGTCAAGGCGTCAAAACTTTCCACATCATCGAACAGTGGCGCAATTGGCCTTGAGTTCAAACAGCACTCTATTTTACACAATAACGTAGTGAACTCCTCAAAAGTGGGAGTAAATTCTCCGATTATTCTTTTGAGGTGAAATTTGACGCTCTTCACACCAGCTTCCCACAGACCACCGAACTGGGGGGCGGCAGGGGGAATAAAGCTCCATTTTACTTCATCTAACGCAAGTCGATCCTGTACGTTTGGGTCTCGAATGACCGCAAGGAATTGTTTTCTTAATTCCTTTGCGGCTCCTTTAAAATTTGTGCCATTATCGCTATATATGGCCGAAGGGAGACCTCTCCGAGCAATAAATCTGTCGAACGCGGCAATAAAACTCTGTGTCGTATAATCATCGACTACCTCTAAATGTATCGCACGCGTTGAGAGGCAGATAAACAACGCACAGTATGATTTATGAGATTTTTGTCCTCGCCCTTTGGCAGAGCGAATATTAAAGGGACCTGCGTAATCAAGGCCGGCATGTTCGAATGGTCGCGAAGGCGTGACGCGCTGCTCGGGGAGATCGCCCATTCGCTGGAAGGAAAGAGATGCACGCTGTTTAGCGCAAGTAACACAGTTACGTATACAATTCTTTACAGAGCTGCGTGCGTGTAAGATCCAATATTTTTGTCGTAGCGTACGTAACGTCAATTGCAATCCTCCGTGAAGGACGCTTACATGAGTAAATTGAATGATTAAATCCGCTATTCGGCCCTTTGGCAATATAACCGGATGTTTCGCAGTTACAGGAAGATTAGAGCGACGTATCCGTCCGCCCACGCGCAGCAGTCCTTCTTCATCTAACCGGGGATTTAATGACATGATAGGACTTCTGCTCTTCAGGGGTAGATCATTTCTTAATAATGTAATTTCCTTTCCAAAATTCAATTCTTGTGCTTGTTTAAGCCAAAAATTCTTCGTGTGAAAGATTTCATCAGCCGTTGTCCATTTCTCACCAAAACGCCGCGAAGTATAACGGGTGTTAAAAATGAATCTACGTACATATGCAGTTATGCGTAATAGTCGTGACCACGTCGATACTTCATACGGAAGCGACCATGCTAATTTCTGAGCACCGTCCATTGCAAAGTGTACGTGGTTGTCAATACGCCGTTCTAAATCAGCGTTTGATTCAAGGGGCCTTTTACTGTCAGGCCATTCAGTGGCGGGACACCACAACCAAGTGGGACCTTGCCACCATAGGCTGTGCTGAATTAAATCAGAAGCGGACATGCCGCGAGAGGCACAATCGGCGGGATTCATTGCCGTTGGAACGTGTTTCCAAGCAGCGTTCGGCAAAGTGGAGTGAATCTCTGAGACTCGATTGGCTACGAAGGTTTTCCAGCGAGAAGGAGTCGCGTTTAGCCATGCTAAAACGACTGATGAATCGGTCCAACAGAACGTCGGCACGTTCACCAGTTTCATAGCCTTTTGCACGAAATCCAAGGACCTTGTGAGCAGAACAGCGGCGCACAGTTCTAGTCTGGGCACGCTTAATACCTTGAGAGGGGCAACTTTGGTTTTTGCATACATAAGAGATACTTGTCGTTGGCCCACAAGAGATTCAACTCGCAGGTAAACGACTGCGGCGTAAGCAGCGTTCGACGCATCTGAAAAACCGTGAAGCTCGACTGCTTGAGGTTCATCCCCTAGTTTTGTCCAACGGGGGATCGACACGTTACCTAAGCCCGCTAATTGAGAAGTGAACAATTGGCATTTGGATAATAAATCACCAGTGAGGGGTGTGTCCCACTCCACCCTATTTAGCCAAAGTAATTGTATGAGTATTTTGGCTGTTATGGTCGCAGGAGCCACCCACCCCAAGGGATCGAAGATCCGTGCTATCAAAGAAAGAAATGATCGTTTCGTAAAAATCAAAGGATTCTCTGATCGAATCTGCACTCTAAATTCGTCTTCACAGGGATTCCACGAGATGCCAAGAATTTTTAAACTAGTCGTACAGTCAAAAGTTTTGTTTACGCGCAGTGCTTGTTCCGCCTCAGGGATATCATCCATTAGTCGAGGATCATTGCTTGCCCATTTATGTGGTTTGAAACCACCCGCCATGAGCATCTGTTTAACCTGATCGCGTGTTTGTTTTAACAGCACAAGATCCTCTGCTCCGAACATTATGTCGTCAACATATACTTCACTTTCCAGCACTGGAGCAGCGAGGGGAAATCTGCGTGACTCGTCGCGAGAGAGCTGTTTTATAACGCGATTGGCCAAAAAGGGAGCTGGAGCAGTCCCATAAGTCACCGTCAGGAGGCGATAAGAGTTTAAAATTGATGTTGGCTTGTCTCTCCAAAAGATGCGTTGATAATCAACATCCGATGAATGCATGCGAATTTGTCTAAACATTTTCTCAATGTCGGTCGAATATACATATTTATGAGAACGCCATTTCAAAATAAGAGCAAAAATATCTGCTTGAAGTTTGGGACCAACCAGCAAGTGATCATTTAGCGTAGAGTGATTCGACGAGGCGCGAGATGCATTAAAGACTACGCGAATTTTAGCAGCTTGATCAGATTTTTTAAAAACGGGGTGATGCGGTAAATAAATCTTTTGACGAGTATTATTATCGTCTGACTCGACCCTTTCCATGTGATGGAGACTTTCATATTCAGCCATGAACACAGAATAAGCCTTTAACAGCTCCGCTTGATTTTTAAGTCTATTTTCATTAGACAGAAAAATACGTTTAGCGATATTTTCCGTTTCGCCGATTGGAACGGGAATTTCTGATTTAAAGGGTAACCTAACAACGTATCGTCCGTCAGGTTGTCTATAATGTGTAGAAAGGAAGTGGGCTTCGCACCGCTCGTCCTCCTCCGAGGAGAGGGGGCGGCTTGGAATTTCCTCAAGTTCCCAAAAATATCGGAGGGATTCGTTTAAATCGTCGACCGTTTGGATATGGTGTACTGTAAGATGCGAAGCATCGTTATTTATACACTGAGTTTGGCCAGAGAGAATCCAGCCAAAGATTGTAAGCTGAGCGGTGGGGTTACATGATGACCCGCGAATGAGCCCATCGCGCAAGATTTCACCGAAATAGTCTGCGCCTATAATAAGATCGATCGGTCTCTTACTAGAAATCTCCGGATCGGCTAACGTCAATGTTTTCAAATAAGAGAAATCCTTGACAAGAGAGACTGACCTTGGAGTATAAGACGTTAATTTGGGCATTACGAGAGCAGATATAGAGAGGACAGGACCCCCGTGATTACATGGTTCGACAAAAAAGGATGCAATGCTTTTCACGATGCCCGCTTTAGATCCGGCAATACCAGAAACATTAACAGAAACAGATTTTCGGTCTGCTCTGATTGTCTGCACGACAGACCTAGAAATAAAGGATGCCTGAGATCCCTGGTCCAACAAGGCCCTTACACGTACAGAATGTCCTGAGGTGCTCTTAATAATAACGAGTGCTGTAGGCAATATGACAATATTGGCTGTACTATTAATAGATTGACTTGCGTAATTATTCGATACCTCGGCCGAAGCTGACTTGTTTTGCTCGGAATTTGACGCAGCAAGAGCGGTTGCACCGGCCGTCGTTCCCGCGGCTTCAGATTTCCCGCAACTCTCGGCTACGAAATTCTCTTTGTGTATTAGCGTGTGATGTTTACGTTTACACAGATTGCACACGTGCTTACTTTTACAGTCTCGCGGAAAGTGCCCTTTCCTAAGGCAATTGAAGCAACATTTATGTGAGCGAACGAATTCCAATCGTTGATCGATACTTTGATTAAGAAATTTTTTGCATTGATTTAAGAAATGATCTCCTTCACAAAGTAAACAATGTCTAAAGGTCGCTGCTTGATGTGATTTTAAACTATGGGACTTGTTAATGCTCCCGAGTGTATTGTTTGGGTTGGTCGCTTCTAATGCACGAATTCTCGAAGTAAGAAAACTATCTAATTTTAAATAACTCGGCAGCTCCACATTTTCTCCTAAAGATATCTCCCAGTCTTGTCGGGTGACCTTATCAAGCTTAGAAACCGTAATAAAAACGAACAAGTCTTCCCAGTTGTCCACTGGCCTCTTTAAATTAAGCAAAGCCGTTCTAATTTCGCCTGTTCGGTCGCGAATAATTTTTAAATCTGGTGCGGAGTTAGGTTTCGCGAGCGGAATATCGATAAGTGTTTGTAGATGAGCATTCACTATCGCGCGAGGATTATCATAGCGATCCTTAACTAACTCCCACGCGGCATGATAATTCGCATCCGTGACGTTGGTCGTCGATAGAATGCGACCAGCTTCGCCGGTTAGATTGGCCTTGAGATAGTGCAGCTTTTGTACATTAGACAGCTCGGGTCTACTAGCGACGAGAGACTCGAATACGTCACGAAAATTTTCCCACCTTGTGAGCTCTCCCGAGAATTTAGGCAACTCAATTCTAGGTAGTTTTATTGGTACCGTCTTTGTTTCAAAACTATGACTCGAATCGTCGAACGCTACGGAGGTAGCACCATGCTGCGCTCTCTCAATCCAATCGTTCAAGGTATCTGATACCTCCTCAACTAAATCGCTAACCGCAAAAAATACATTATTCGAAAAATACTCATGTGACTTGCGAGACTCCTTCTCCATCCCCGCGCAGAGCCGAGCATGATTTTCCTGGAGAGAAGACCAGTAGCCCTTGAGAGTGATGAGGCGGCTGCGCGCAGCGGTGACGGTTTTCTTCGCCTTTCCTAATTTATTGAAATTCGGGATGATCCTCTCAATTAATTCCCGCGTTGACATCTGGGACTCCAAGATCTCCTCCATGGATGCCACGTTAGAGTCGTCCATCCTCAAGTTTAATTGGGAAATGATAGACAACGGGAAGTGAAGAACCGAATGCAATCTTCTTCCCTTTCCACTTTCCGTGCTCCTTTTGGCCAAATCGGAGTTGCGTAAATTCAGGCAGCAGCAAGTAAATTGACTGTGCCTCTTTGTCTGATTTTAAATTTATCCCTTCCACAAACTTGTGAAGCTAGGAAAGAATTAACCGCCGACTATCCAGGCTTAACTGCCCAATAGATTTGCAAGAATAAATTTAATTAATTGATTATTGCTTGATTAGTCGCGCCGTTAGTAAGTGTAAGATACACGAGCTCAACGAGTGCGCGCCACGCGTCACTCTTTTCACTTGCGAGGCAAGGTTTCGATTCTCTTTTTCTATCCGTCACGAACTTGTATGACACCGTCACCACTCAATATTTCTCACAGCCCGTAAATCCGGCTCGAAGGACCAATGTTTAACGTGCAAGTATATTTTTCGCACTAACTGCCTGGTACTGCAGTATTTGCAGTAGGGCTTGGTGTGAGGAAATTAACTTATTCGTGATTTCTATTCAAAAGATCGTTTACTTTTAAATGCTCTTTCTTACTAGCTGTCTAGCACGCGACTGACTTATATTATTTCTCTGAAAATCCGAGAAGTTTCTCGGAACGGCTCTCACAATACGAATATCAGTGAGAGAATGTAAACAGATTCGATACATTGCCTTATTTGGTATTTCCTCGAATATTGACACTCGTTAAAGCGAGATTTAAACTAGAGTCAGCAGACGCGGATAACGCTATACAGAATTTTATGATAATCTTTACTGAAAACATACGTAGAAGAATGAGGGGGAAGTTTACAAGAAATTATACATAATTGAAAGAGTAGATTAAACTGGAGTTAAATTAATAGACAAAGAATGAAGGAGACGGATGGAAATCTGTAACATTCATATTGTGTAAAGGGATGTATTCATTCCATAATAAAACTATATTAATACACATTACATGAATAATTGTTTGTAATATATCCAATAATAGCATATAACATTCGTGCGATTGAACGCATCTTACCAAAAGATATAATAGCATATAAGAATCACGCAATAAAAACGCATCTTATTATAAGGTTATTTTATTGTGTATCCAAGATTTGTGGTATTTTATAATGTCCCCAAGGTAGAGTAGCAATTCAATCAGGTAAGACGTATCGTTTGTTATCGTACGGACTGAGAGCAAGTTTTGTTCGAGAACCGTATACATCTCGTGCAACGACGATTGAATGCGCGATTGACGCCTCGACTGTTCGTGCGCATACAAACATTTCACATAATCGTTAAACGCTATCGTTTTCGCGACAACGCTTTTCTTGACACCCTTTATTTTTTTTACGTCATTACTACCGACAACTCTCAATGCGTACATCTTCGCTCTGAGACCAATGAATTCGGTCATTACCTACCGTTATTTTCATCTTTCATTAAACCAGATATTTTATTATTAAGGCATGGAATATTGTATACATTATCCTCGGAATAATCGCTCGTGTCAAATTTCGTGATATTACACTTGATATCCTCATATACATTGTCGCACTTCAAAAAATAAATCAAACTGTCCTTGTCCGTGTATAGGATCGTGCACCTATCGTGATACAACGGCATCATGTACTCGTAATGAAATTCATACAAACGAATCTTGGATATTTCAAGAATACACATACCAACGTATATCGGTTTGTTCAACGTTACTTCGAGTTTACGCAACTCAACGGCTACCAGATTTTCGGAAAAGATACTTCTACTGCAAAAATTCGGTTTCGCTATCATTGCTTCTAAACCGTATCTTCCATCCCAGTGTGTTATAAGTCGGATGTCTTTATAATCGCGTACGTTCTCCATTGTTCTTCCGAATACCGCATTATTCATCAATTTGTAAAGATTTCTCTCGAAATCGTTATTCGAAGACATTCTAAATCGCGTATTTAGTTCTATATATCCTCGAAGCCATTGAAATTGTGCAAATTTTAATATCCGATGAATTTTCGTCACGACCAAACCATGTCGAATGCATTGCTGCAAATTGCGATAATGAATGACGTAACGCTCCTTATCGTACAGCGTTGCCAAAAGTTTTTCGTATCGTTTTCCTCCAGGAGGTCGTTCTCTCGTAGGACAGAACGGAAGATTGACATGAGAGTTATGCAAGTTTTGTGGATACGCAAGGTCAATCTCTAAAATGTAACCGACGTCGGACTCTATCGGTACCGACATGACGTCAAAACAATCGACGTCTATCCATTTAAATTCTCCGTGTGATAATGGTTCCATCATCGCCCAACCGTATAAATTATTAACATCGAAATACATAAGATACGTAGAGGGTTGGGAAGGGTCATATTACGGTACATGCGCATTATTGGCACACGCATACCTATGTGAACATTGGCTTAAACCACCGTGTACGCCGCGCTCTACAAACAATACCATATCAATGTCGGTGAGCAATTCCAATTTAACACCGGTGTACTTTAACATAGCGTCCCACGTGTATCCCGACAGAGTGAAATAATAAGCCGGATCTAATCCGTAACTCTCCATGCACGTGTCTCGAAAATTTTCAAAAATATCCGCTAATAGAAGTACGTCGGTTTTCAGATACAAATCACTATATTCACCGAGAGTATTAATGTGGAAACGTTGCCACACTTCAATCGCCTGTTGATAATTGTCGATGGAAACGTCCTCGTTGGTCAATGAACTATAAAATGCCTCGCGTGATGGTAAACTCGTCTCGTTAAGCTTATCGAAGTTGTCAGCGTATACGTACGGAAATACTCCTTTACGCGTAAGAAAATCAAATTCCTGTGCGTTCAGATTAAAAAATATCGATTGTGTAATTTTTAATTTACTCTTGTCGAGATAAGAAACCAATTTCTCGAGGCTAGAACTGAGAAATTTATACGAGTCCACGAAACGTAACTGCATGATGTCTGTACCCTTCCACGATCCGCTTGCTGTATCTTTAACGTATTTCGTGAATGATATGTAGTTCTCTTTCGTTACCGGTAACAAATAAACCTTTCCATCATATCTATTAACTATATCTTTTATAATAAAATGCGCGTCGTAACCCGATAAATTATGAAAAAATACAGGAATAAAACGCGCGATTCTTGATAATTTAAATTACAATAGGACTGTGCGGGACCTCTATAATCCGGTTATGTGACAGTGATCACGTACGCGTATATGTTCCTCCTCGAACGGTTTTTCACAAATGTGACAATGAGTCGCGTCTGTAAATTGTTTTCATTGCTTAGTTGTAAACTGATTCATATGCGTATTTCTATCGAAAAGCGGCTTTACGCGATGCGTCAAATTATATAATTCGTTGACGAACCATTCTACGCAATTCGTTCCGCGACAATGTCTATATTTCGACATCGTTTCGTCGAACTCACAATGTAAGTAGTATCCGATGCTGAAGACTTTATGATGTTGATAGGTGAATCTCGAGATACGCTCATCATCGATCCCTGTCTTTTCCAATATACACTCCAAATCGGCATAAATCACGAAGGGTAGTCGGTTCCTTCTGTTGTAATTGCGAAACGACAACCATTTGTCGTATTCATCAGGCAAAATAACGGTACATTTATTCAATCTTGCGCAATCGACATTATGACGCGATAGTTTCTCGTTTGGAAGTAATGCAAACATCTGTAAAAAAATAACAATTTCATATACCGCATAATTTTTTTTCAACTTAAACATCATACGTACTTACCTATCGCAAATGTACTTCTTGCAGGTACTCCTTTCAATTGAGTATTGAGAAGTCTCGACAAATTCTTAATCCATACAAAATGTCCGACGACATTGGCATCGTTTTGCACGTACAACAAATTAACGTGTTTGTTTCTATTTACTTTTGTCACACGAAGAGGCACGATCATCGTATCGCTGTCTGTAATCCTTTCCTTTTCATCTTTCTCTCGCTCGACAAACACGGTTACGGAAACATCTTTCAGATGTTCAAATTTCGTGATTTGCTTCAAGGTTACGGGGAAATCAATACCTTCCAGCTGTAATTCCTCTAAATAATGAGGATATTGTGACGTTCTATTAACATTTGTAGATGCAGGATACAATGCGGCAACTATAGCCCATGCGAAACAGGCGTTATCGAACGACTCGATATTGATAGTCGCTCTCTTCGAACTTATACGTCGAGGTACATTCACGCGACATCCATCGTGCATAGGATAAAATTTATTTACGTTTACAATCAAATTCAATATGCGCGATAATGACCATCCGTTGTTACGTTCCTGAAACTCCTCCAGATCAGATAGAATTGCATCCATAACATACTCATCGTACCACTTCAAATCAGACGCACCATACAGATCATGATTTTTCGTGGTGATTACTCTTGAAGGATCTCTTGTCGTCTGCAACGAATTCTCCATTGAAAGTTGTATTCACCTTTAAACACGCGTGCCTCTGAAGATTCACTCGTGTATGATCAAGAACGGTGTCTCTCGCATTGTTGAGAAATTGTCGCGGTTCAATGTAACTCGAATTCACAACTACACCAGTGAGCACTCGATTATTGAAAGCCGTTTCGATTTCCATCCATGATAATCCCGTCTTCGACGATTCAGCATGACCGGAACCCTCCTGTACAAAACGAGGTCGTAAGGTACTCCTCACATACTCCAATCGCGCTATTTTAGCGATCGACGAATTTATCAAACTAGTAGATATCGATTGACTCGTGTTACGACATACCTCTCTTAAATAATCAAGATACTCAACGCATTTTATCTCCCATGATTGATACGCCTCCAGCGTATCGATGCTCGTTGTATTGCAATACAACAGATCCTCCATTTTTTTCACCTCGTTCAGGTAACCACAAAGTTTCACCGCGACTGTCTAATGGTACGGAAAACTCGATTTTTTCAATTAGGGGAAGTCCGGGCAGTATGGATATGTTAAGGTTTGGGAAGAAAAATGACATAGTTAAAATTAAGATCAGAAACTTTTTTTTATTCTTAAAATTTCATTATAGAATAAATTTTAAAATAAAATTAAATAAAATATAAAAAAACTTGAACATTTATATGTATTTTAAATAAAAATGTAAGTAAAGAAGGGTAGCTTATCACACATGTTTATGCTCGTGTAAATACAAATTATTTAAAGATCAAGTGGTTGAGTTAAAAATAAAAATAAGAAGAAGGAGCATATACCACACGCTGGTTAAAAGTAGCGAAAATTTCGTATATTTAATACTACTAAATTTACATAATTATAATAAACGTTTCGGTCATTAATGTGACCATCTTCAGTATAAAAAAATTTATAATTTAATTCCCTAATATATTTTAAATGAAACTAAGTGCTAGAGCACAACTTTTCGCATGTTTGTCAATTATTCTATACTATAAGATATTAAACAGTTATAATTTGTCAAAATATAAAAGTCAATTCGCAATAAAATGGTGTCAAAATTAAAAAGTGATTCGCATAACGTAACAGTATACAATATAATTTTCTTCATGTCATTACAATTCAGATGATGAGTTTGTTAAAGTATTGGCATCAACTGTGATTTGAGAACATTAAATTCACATTCTCTTTTTGTAACGACCAACGTTTAGTCCTTTCACATGGATGACGTCGAAATTCCTTTGAGACAGAGTCTGGAAACTTTTGTTCTCAAATCACAGTTGATGCCAATACTTTAACAAACTCATCATCTGAATTGTAAGGACATGAAGAAAATTATATTGTATACTGTTACGTTATGCGAATCACTTTTTAATTTTGACACCATTTTATTGCGAATTGACTTTTATATTTTGACAAATTATAACTGTTTAATATCTTATAGTATAGAATAATTGACAAACATGCGAAAAGTTGTGCTCTAGCACTTAGTTTCATTTAAAATATATTAGGGAATTAAATTATAAATTTTTTTATACTGAAGATGGTCACATTAATGACCGAAACGTTTATTATAATTATGTAAATTTAGTAGTATTAAATATACGAAATTTTCGCTACTTTTAACCAGCGTGTGGTATATGCTCCTTCTTCTTATTTTTAAAAATGTAAGAAAACAAATATCATCCGCTTTACCCAACCCCCCTGAGTAAAGCGAATATTACTCGAATAATGAGAATATAATAAAAAAATATCAAAATTAATATTGGCAATCGTCACAAAAGTAGCTGCCAAATCCTCTATATGTTGTGCAGCCTTCATGAGTGCATTGATTGCACTGGATCCAGTCTTCGGATGGTTGGATCGATGTATTCTTGAGAACACACCAAACAGAAGTAACGTACGTTCTCTTAATCATTAACAGACTTTTCTTTTTTAACTCGCTTTCTGTTTACATCACTACAGCTAGGTCTAGCAGTGATGATGTGCTATTCGTTTTGTCCCCACTCACTTTGCCTAAAGAACCTACTTGGCGCAAATTAGGAAAAATTAGAATAAGTTTCAGCAACAAGTAAAAAATTTTAACCTCTATTGCACGTTAAAAGACAGAGAATTCCTATAAAAATTTATTCACACTGGTTAAGAAACAATTATTGCTAATAATTACACTGTGTACCTAAGCGAAAATCGTAAGAAAATACACAATTTCGTATATTTGTATATAAAATATAAACAATCGCAATCATATTGCGTTTTGTATTTTCATAGCGTCGCCAGCCGGTTATTCCTGCAACAGCTAGAGATTCATAGCACCATCTCTGATAGATAAGCAGAAATAAAAAGTATTCGGTTTGCCTAGGGCATCCATTTTGCCCGGGCTTCCCCTATACCTCGAGCGCGTTTGCCTTTACCGTAAGTTTTACACGCCCAATTCGTAGCAGCAGCCTCGTAATTTTTTCCACGATTCTCCAATGCTATTAACGTTTTAATCCACAGAATCTCTCGCGGACATTGAAATCCGATCGCTCTCGTTGTCACTCTATAACGATGCACTCCGCAATGCATCGTTCCGACGATACCAGCCGCCAGAAACATTTTATACTTCGCGATATTATAATTACCGCTGTCGACAGTAGCTATCGCCGCTCCGACCGAACGCGTCCGAAGATCGCCGAACGATCTGCGCTTCGCGCTATCCGCCGCTCCGACCGAACGCGACCGAACATCGCCGATCGACAATCCCCTCCGCAGGGATTGCCGACCGCCGAACGATAACGGAAAAGTCCGTAATAAAACGAGCGGGAGCAATAATTAGTATATATCGCGTAATTATTGCTCCGGGAGCTCTCTTCTATCCTAACCGCCGCTCCATT